ATATATTTTTTTTATTATGCTGGGGTCAGCCAGGCCTCCATCACACATCTCCAGCTCTTCCAGAATGCTGCTGCTCGGCTTTTAACTGGAACTCGTAGGTCTGAACATATTACACCAGTTCTGTCCTCCCTTCACTGGCTCCCTGTGCGTTTAAAATTCTTCCGTTCACCTTCAAATGCTTAAATGGCCTCGCACCCCTTTACCTCTCCGAGCTACTGGAACCATTATGTTCTCTCTCGGGTCCTGAGCTCATCCGTTCAGCTGCTTTTGGCTGTTCCAAAAACAAGACTGAAGCTCAGAGGAGATCAGGCTTTTTCAGTCATGGGCCCCTAACTCTGGAACAACCTGCCCCCCAACATCAGGCAGGCCACCTCCCTTCCTTAGTTCAAATCTCTGCTAAAAACACATCTGTTCTTGCACAGTGTGAGTTCATTTAGTGTCTTTTGTTCTGTGTTCCTATGCTTTAAATGCTTTTTTATTAATTCTTCAGTATTATCATTAGTGTGTGGTATTTATTTTGTTAATTAATTTTACTCCCAAGCACTTTGATAACAGTTTCTGTTTTAAATGCGCACTATAAATAACGTTGACTTGACTATTATGTACTTCATAAAAAATAAAAAAAAAAGGCTGTTCACTGTTCAGTGAGTGCACTAAATGTCTAATGTGGGCATTGTTTGCACCCAAAAGCAGGAAAGATGAGGCTGAATTGAGGCAATGATCTTGAACTTCACGACCGATGAGTTTGGACGAGATGCGAAGGATTGACACGTTTAATCTCACTGCTCAACACATTAATAATCTAATAACCAGATTGCCTTTGGGACGGAAATGAATCAGTCTGAGGCAACACCCACCTCTCCCTGTGTGTCCTGAATCAGAAAACGATGACCCCCTTCCCTCCCCTCATTGTTGCTCAGTGTCTAATCCATACAGTATCAAGCATTGTGACGGGCAGCGGTGCCCCCCCCCCCCCCCCCCCCCTCAGACTGAGCCCAATGTTAATTAGGACTTGATCCGCTTAAGCTTCCCTCTAGTCTCCCATGTCATTATCTGGTGGTGTGTTGTTATTGGACTGCAGAAAGCTCCAGTTGTTGCATGCTCTCACACACACCCCGCAGACGCTGCGGACTGGGAGTGTCCAAACTGTTACACCTCGTTTTTCTTGTTGTTCCGGTAGTTTTCAGTTTGGAGAAATTGAAGGTCGCTGGTGATAAGAGGGTGTTTTTGTCGTCGTGGTTTTTGGTTTGTTAGAATGAGATATGGAGGGAGCCATTAGTCAGTCTTAATTTGTTCCTAGCTGTCCAAAAAACAATAAATTAATAAAGCAAATCCTGTCGTTTGAAGCAGTTTTGGTGTGTTTACTTTGCATTTGCTCTGCTAGTTGTAAAATGCAAAGCCATGTGACAGCCTGTTATCAGCTGAGCAGCAAACATGGTTAGTAATGTTTCTGTAAAATCATTACCGTATTTTTTGGACTATAAGGCGCAATATCAATGAACGGGTTTGTTTTTATACATAAGGTGCATTATAAGGCGCATTAAACGAAACAAGTTCATTTTGACAGATTTTGGCGCCGTGCACCACATAAAATCGGTTTGAGGTCAGTAAGCACAATCAGAATTAATACATAAAGCTCACTGTCAATTTTTGAGAAAATTAAAGGATTTTAAGTGCGCCTTATAGTCCAAAAAATACGGTAATATATTAAAAGACCTGAAATTATCATTATTCAGACAGGATAAAACATTCTGTCTGATGTTTCAGAACGTTTCAAATTCACCTGAGTTACTTGGTCAAGAATGAACAGGAGCCCGATAATTTAGTAAAGTGAACATAGTTATGACATAAACAGCAGATGTGAAGGATTTGTGGACTGTAGCTACGTGTAATTGAAAAAGCCTGGTGTGAAGCTAGTTGACCTAAAGTATCTGTAATGTTTTTAATGTGTTTGAACAGCTTATGTTTTGTTCTAATAAAGTTTTTATGGCCTTTATGAAACACCAGATAAGCTTCCAAGGCTTTTCTAAATAGTCTTGATTACCAAAACTAAACTAGCTTGGAGTCAAATTTATCTAAAAGAGAATAAGAAAAGAAGAAAGAAGAGAATGTTTATCATATCTGAATCTTCCTGCGTTTAGCCCCGTCTCCCTGTGGTCAGGTTATGTGTGACCCATTGGTGCCAGGTCCGATCAGGAGCGTTGACTTCCTTATTAAAATGGAAAAAAATCACCAACGTTTTACACGTTTAGTTTAAGCCTCTGCATATTTTAAAACAAAGGAGAACGTTCTGAGCACCAGCGTCATTTTCCGTATTTAAATAAACCAGATTGATCAGTAACAAGAAATCATTTATAGAACTTTTTTGGGGAAGTGAGCACGAAGCTGAGCAAGGGGGGAACCAGTGGAAAACCATCATTCTTTGCTAGAATGCTCTCAGCCCTGAGGCACATATCCAGTATGTAACCAGAGAGATAAAATAACAGTTTGCCAAAATTTACTTAACTGGAAGACAACAAGGATACAGTTAATTTTATGTCTCCTCTTGGCACGAGTAAAACTCTCCCTCAGTTGTTTGTAATTCTTCAGCACTGAAAGATCATGGTTCTGATATGATGTTTGAGTGTATCTCCAAACAGATTTTGTGTTTAACTTTTTATAACAAAGGCGTGCCCAACTAAATGACACCACGGTTTTCTTGTGAAAGGCTCAGTGTTTCATTAAAATGCATCTTGCTGTTAGTGGGGCATTTTGCTAACAGACAAATGGAGTTGACTTCAACAGTGAATGTTAAAGTTTTAAACAAAGCTCTTGCACAATCTGCAACACTTGGAGTATTTGTTCTAAAGGATTATTAGCTAAAATTACATCAAATTTCAGCTCAGTATCTGCAAAACTAGCCCTGAGGCTAAGCTTCCTCGCTTCTTCTTCACGTTTATATAACGTGTTTCCCTATTAGCTAGTTATTAGCTCAGGATATTGATTAATGAGTCCATGAAGCAAATAAGCTGTGACCCATCAGAACCGACACTGTGAGCTTTTCTAATGTTTTCCTTTAATTTGTCTCTTGTATTTTTTATTCTACAGAGCTGCAGTGCGCTGTGTGCCGTGACGTAACTGTTCCCCCTGGACCCCTTTTCCGTGTTGCTGGGTTCCCCCTCTCTCTGCCGTGCAGCGTGTCAGGATACGAAGGCTCGCGGATGCAGGACTTTGAGTGGTTCTTGTACCGAGACGATTCTGCTGGAAGGCAGATAGGAGTTGTGTCCACCAGGGACAAAGGCTTCCCGTACGCTATATTCCAGTCCAGAGTGATTAATGGGGACATGAGGGTGGAGAGAGACTTGGGGGACAAGGTGCGACTGGTGATCCAGAGGCTTCGGGCTGAAGACCAGGGGAGATACGAGTGTTACACGCCCAGCACAGACAGCAAATATCAGGGGAATTACAGCGCCTCAGTCACAGTCCAAGGTAAGCTAAACTGCTTTCTGTGTTATTGTTATTGTCAAATATGAGGTTTCATTTTTTTCAAGCTAGCTAAAACATTAGGACCTTGTAGTTTTTTGAAAGCAGGACTAAACTTGTTCTTGTTTGGACCTTTGTAGGAAGTGATTGTGTAAGATATTGTTTTATTGTGGGGAGTGAGTGGCGGTGTGGAGGACAGAAAAGGTAAAACCTGTGGTGGAGAGGTCGCAGATTCAAATTCCCAGACCGGCACAAATAAATTGAGTGGGAAAGGTGAAGCTCCCACACCTGCTTCCACCCTCATTTGCCCCACTGTGGGACCTTGAGCAAGGCCCTCAACCCCCCAACTTCTCCCTGGGTGCCTTAGATGGCAGCTCTCCCTTTGTATGATGGGAAAAACACAGAGTTGGAACTTCCCCACTGGGAATTTACAGAATACAGTAGTCCCTCGTTTATTACGGGGGACCGTACCCTGAAACCCCACGATAATTGAAAAACCGCAAATTAGGAATAGTAGTACAACTAGTATGTAGTACCGGTAGTTTATACTGCGCCTTTTTATATCGGTGAGTTATTTGATGGAATGGCCCATGTCCGATATTTAACTTTATTGCTAATATCGGCTGATACCGATACCATGCCGATAATATTGTGCATCCGTAGCTAGTAGAGCTACTGGGGCGGATGTAATGACTCAGAGCCTGGTTTAGTAGCTGTAAGAGCCACAAGGAAAAGCAACTGAACAGGATCATGAAGACAGCCAGCAGGATCATTGGTACCCTTCCTTATGGAGATCTACCAACAGCTTTGGATCTGCTGAGCTGTCTCCATCATTAGGGACCCTCAATACCCTTCTCACCACATTTAATATCTCCTGCCATCTGGGAAAAGGTTCAGGATCAGCAGGTCCAGCAAGATGCTGAAGAGTTTCTTCTTCCAGACCATGATTGATGAATGGTCAGTTACCCCCCCCCCCCCCCCCACACACACACACACACTTTGACAGCCATTCACCTGTCAAGGAGAATTGTAAACCATACAGTTTGTTGACATGGAGCAGTTCTGTCTGAAAGGATGTGTTTTTATTTGGGGTGTTTTTATTACCGGTAGTTGTTATTCTATTTAATTTAGAACTATGTTAATTGGTTTGAACTGATTATTTTATTTTTTAGTTGTGCATTTTAGCCTTGTTTAGTTGTTTAGCTGCAGTGTTGGATCCTCTGCACTCTTGTACATGAAGGACAGGCTTTTTAAGTTCAAAGTTTTTGTCTAGCCATTGTGCCGTAAGACTAATCATGCTAACGGGGCTAACATGACGTCCAAATGTCTGTGGTAAAACTCACCCAAGTGCTATCGGCTATTAGCTTCTCAATGCCGTCAGAAATTACAGCTTGTAACTCGGGTAAGGCTATGTTGGAAAAATATCTCTGACTGGGGATGATGTAGCGAGGTTCAACGTAGTCCAAAAATCTTTGTACTCCAATATCCTCAACGAAAAAAATCTTCCACACTACCGACATTTTGACTTCTTCCTCTCCGCCGCGATCAGATCAGGTAGGCGCACATGACGTCATCCCGTTGTGCTGGTGCTGCAGGCGTCCTTGTCACTGGGTTGCCATACAAAAACAGCGCCTTTTATATTAATGAGTTATTTTGATGGAATGGCTGATGTCCGATATTTAACTTAACGCTAATATCAGCCGATACCAATACCACGCCGATAATATCGTGCATCCCTAATAGGTATATTTTAATGCACTGCATAGCTCGTGAGAAACAGTATTTTATTTTATCCTGTGTATGAAAATATTCAGGGAAATCACAATAAATTAAACTTGAATCTTGAATGGATGTTTTGGTGCCACTGATCCACAGTCTCTGGGTGTTAGTTTCATGGTTGAGCGTAAACATTTTAACCTTCTTTCCTTTAGGGCAAATGAACGTGCAAAAGCCTGAGGCTACTGTCAGCAATGACGGTGCTCTATAAATGTTGACACCTAAAAAAAGCAACAGAGCAATGTAAATTAAATGTAGTATTTTTGTCCTTCTGTCTGGCTTCAGTCGTAACACAATATCTTTACGTTGATATCTTTGTTTGCACCCTGCAGTGATTCCAGATACCCTCCAGATCAGCTACACCCGCTCACTAACTGGGCAGCCCGTGCCAGAGGGGGCTGAATTAACCCTGACCTGCTCAGCTGGCATCCAATCAGAGCAGCTCACCCACCTGTCCATCACGTTTGGAAAGCGGGCTGGTGGAGATGCTTCGGCTATCGGAGCTGGAGGGGAGGTCAGCACCGTTAAAGAGATCATCTCCATCGACAAACTGCTGGGGGTCGTACCTGGGCGATTCTACAAGAAGCGCTATGATGACAGAGAGATCACACTGGAGAAAAGGAACGGAGAGGGAGGGTTGGGGGTGTTTGTGATGAGGATGATGGCAGTGCAGCCCGACGACTCCGGCTCTTATTTCTGTGAGGCCTCGCAGTGGATTCTGGACCCTGATCGGTCGTGGCAGAAGATTGCTCAGAGGACGCTGGATATCGGCAACTTGACTGTTCAGCAGCTAGGTCAGTGTCACCAAGAAACTGAAATCTAAAGTAGGAGTTGCAAAATATTTCAGCAAGTGCAGAACACAAGCTGATTAGTTCCTGCCATTTAAATATGACGATGTATGTGATACAACATCAGATCAGGGGATTTAGTTTTGATTTGACAGGCAGCACTTTTCTGAACAACAATAGCATAAGTAATGAAAATTATTGATCTGAATATTGGGATTTTAAAAAGCTTTCACTAAAGGTCAAGTATAGGGAACCAACCTAGTGTGTACAGCTGTGATTTAATTAACTTTGCATATTAAATACTATAAGATCGTTACAAATAAAGTAAAGAAGCCAAGCGTGCAGGTGGGATTAGAAAACCCTTAAGAGCTTTTATTCAATCCCATCTACACATTCATGATAAGTAGATCAAAAATATCATGCAATCAGATAAAAAATATACGTACAAAGCAGGTTTAAACAAGTTTAAATTACATAAAACCAAAACCATTGTATAAAAGTGTTTATAAATAAGTATTCGTAAATTTGTGGACACATAAAAAAATATTAATAGTTTCTAGGTCTACTGTAGTCCTGCGCTACATCGCCGTTCATTTTTTGCAGACTCGCTCTATCGCTGATTTTCTAAATAAGATTGGACATAACACACAATTGGCTGATTGATGGATGAGCCGCACGATCGGCATGGAATTTTTATTGAAAATAAATTATTTTAAATTATGTAGCACCTGCTGCACCTTTGTCCAATTTTGCCAACCGCTACAGAAAAATCTTCCTCCTGCACCTGTGTGTAGCTGCTAGCTGCAGCATAAGCTTCCTGCAGCTGAACAGCTGATCAGCTGTTCTCGTGCAGAGCGGAGAAATGGGCGTGGCCAAGAACACTCGCAGGTGGCTGAGAGCAGTAGAGGCACAGAGAGGGAATTCTGTGCTCTTTTAGAGCGTTTAGAGTTTAGAAACATTGTTTAGAATATTGCAAGAGTGTGGGAAGACTTT